GCTGGAAATTGACTCTTCTATATAACCTCCTGTCAAGGTAGATGACTTCCATCCACCGTGACGTTTGAGTGTTGAATATCTACTCCAGCATTGGCCAAGAGAGTTGCAGATGCGCGACGCAAACCATGCCCTGTATAGAAATTAGAATCTGTCAAGCCCAAAAATCGCGCAACAACATTAGGGATTTTTGATAGATTATTAATACCAACACATTGACGTGTGCATTTTCCCTTTTGAAAATTGCAAAAGAACCTTTTATGCTGCACATTTTGAGGCCATAGCTTAGAATATTTTCTAATTAATTCAATTGGATTAACACAAAATCCTTCATGTAACACAGCGAAGCTTCTTGGTTCGTTCGTTTTAGTATTTGAAATCATGATGCGGATATACTGCCCTTTGTCCTCTATATTGTCTGCTTAGATGGGTCAATTTCTCCAAACGGTAAGCGCCAAAAAGTCCTAATATCAACACCACCTAAAAACAACAAATTTAATCAGTTAAACTATTCAGAAGAACTTACCTTATTCATAAGATGATCTTCGTCTAGGGCTTCACCCAAAAATTGTTCGATTTGTTCTCTTTCTAAGACCTTGGATATTTTTTGTTGAAAATATTTGTGCTTAAACTTGGAAATGCCACTAGTCTTCCGAATTTAGAAATTTCAATGTTCTTATAAACTCCCAAAGTTGACTTCCACATGGAATATTTAGTCCACAATGTGGATGGAGCTAATTTCTCACTTAAATTGAAAAAATAAGCCAGCAAGACATCTTCATTTACCCTTTCACCCCCTTGATTTTCCAATCTTGAAATTCCTTCAGTTCTTTGTTGTAGGTATAAAGATTTTGATTTCTCCGGAATGATGCCTACAGTATCCGCATTAGCTTTTTCTAAAATTTCAGATGGAATTTCCACATTTTCCATGTTTTCAGTCTTGGTTTTAGGATTTGAACGTAATTTCAACTCAAAAAATATTGTTTGTTTAATGACAATCTTTGGTGACACATTAGGTTGCGCATCCTTTGTAATATTTAAAAATACATTCATTTCGTTAAATTACTTTTTCTGACACTGACAACTGGAAATTTTAAGTTATATATACCGTAACACTAGTATCACAAATAACTATTAAAGATATTTGGAGAAAACTAAATTTCTGCAACTTTACCGCCATCTAGTGGCTAAACGAAACAACTTGAATATATAAAGATCAGTTCGCCATTTTACAAGAGTTATACGAAATTGATGATTTTAATCAAGATTAAATCCACTTAAGTAAATATTACTGTTCACTGTGTGTACATATTTCCAATGGCGTTTAGTAGAAAGAGCATTGTATCGATTTATCTAATTATGTTAGGTAGGTCGCAAAGTCGTAGATAAATATTTTTTTTTATATGTCTGACACACTTTCATTAATGAATTGATAATAATTATTAACAGGATATTGTACAAAATTTACATCCTTGTTTGTTATTTAGACGCCTGTATAAATCGGAGTAAATTTATTTAGGCAACATGGTTTTTAATATAGTATTTATTGCGGCAATTTTAACAGTGTAGAATTTTGTTTTTCTCGGAAAGAATTAAACTAAAGCAGTATCCTTTGTGCGTTCAATTCCAAAATTATTTATTTTTTATATCTCAAAAGATTTATTTAAATATTTAATACATATTTTGTTATTTTTTGAGTTTCGTGCATTTTGTGTAAAAAAATTCACGTTTACGATCTCTGTTAACATTTTGTTGAAATTTGCACTTAAACTAGTCGGTATTATTGGCCATTATTGGCACTGCAACTTGGCAACATAATGAGATACGACATAACTGTCGATATTAAAGTAAAGTAGTTCCTAATTTTTTAGTAAAAATGTTATAATTCCCCACTTGAATAATATTTTAAGGAATTTTATATAAATTTCGATACGGAAGCGACCCATAGACGACCTTATTTCCTCGTGCTAAATAACGTTAGTTGCGGTCATGAAAATTAGTGATTGTAGCGGATTCAATATACACAACCATGTAGGGCTGGTTGCTTGCTATTAGTCATATGATTTGTCGCAGAAAATTGCTTTATAGATCTCCGTTAGGTGCGGGTATAGCCACTGTTGGTACTGGGTGTGTGTTTTTATTACAAGGGACATTCACGTTTGAAAATATAGACCTATTTTCAAGAATAGTTTCGACGTCATTATAACTTTTTAGGCAATAAAATTTAATGAGTTCCATAGGCGTCCCTAAAAAGTTTTCTGCTAAAGGTAAATAAATTCTATTATATGTTCATTTGACCAACAACATCTTTTAATTATATGTCCTCAAACAATTTTATTGTATTGATGGTAAATTTCGTTTTGTTCCCTTTCAAAAGGTCTCCAAAATGCCATGTTGTAATAATATTAGTAAACAAAATATCCCTCTTATTTCTCCCTTTTGCAATTGTAATATCAGTGATTAATAGAAGGTGCCTATAATAAATTAAAATTACCTGAATCACACCAAATTCCGGATTGCTGCACTGCACTGCTAAGCCATATCTCGACAACTGAATTTATGACCAGGTCGTCCAGTTCGGCTGTTTGTGCTGCGTTTGACCGCGCGCTCATTCAACTGGGCGCCCAGACCTGTATATGGGTATGGCTAAATAAATATGGGAACAAGTTTTTCATACCTGATACATACTACCAACCTCTTGGTTCTTCAATTGAGATCGGAAAGACTATACCATGTTGTATGTTTCTGTTAAGCATTAAAACTTTCAATTTCCTCAAATTTGACCGACATTTGAAATTATTAGAACAATTTACCTATTTGCAGTAGTTATTTGTTGGAATAATATTAATATGTATCGGTATACAACTACTAAAAATCAAGTTAGGTATGAAATGTGTAATAATTAAAAAGTATAGTTCTTCAAAAAAAAATTACGTCACATTTATCCACCCCGTGCTTTGTCCTTCCTGTGCAAGTACTCTGTTAAAAGTAAATTTTCGCCGTCATCCCAACACACTAAATCGATATCAAGGCATTACTAGACTGGTATCCGGTGATAAAATATAATGCAGGCCACTTTAAATCGTACAACTGAAAGTTCCTTATTTATTAATGAATTGTTTATCGAATTATAATTTCCATTTGAGAAGGAGAAGCGGATGAAAATAAACGGTTAGGAACGTTCGATTGCCATAGCGTAAGGCTGGATTTCAGATACAGGGTGTGCCATTTCTCACTGGCGTTTTCTTAGAAACAAAGAGACCTATTTTCAATCGATATTAGCCAAAGGTGGAGGACACTAAAAGGTTTATCTCAGCATAAAAGCTATTTTCTATACAAAGAAGTATTCTATCCTAGGAGCAGAAAAACGTGTTCATCGATTAGACAATTAATTTTCGATATTTTTCTTTATTTTGCTTACACTGTAAATATAAAAGTAGTCAGACATTTACATTTTAATTATTGTTTTCTGGCAAATATAACTTTCTATAACTTTTTTTAATACAAGTTTTTATAAAATTGTAGTAAATTAACGCTATTAAAGGTCAATAAGGAAATTGATGTGCGTTTTCCGATTTAATAACTTTTAAATGCGAATAAGTCTTAAATAAATCAAATCACAATTTCACAGGTTCTTAATCTGATAAAATACTTTTGTTTTCTCTACATATAAGTTATTCATTTAGCATAGTCTACCCATTGCGTTTTGTGTACAAAAAGGGACGACTAGCGTTACATTGTTTCATTTCGAGATTTGTCAGTTTTCAGCTTAAACATTTTTCTTCGTGTCATATTCGTGCAAGTGAAAAAAAAACATAATTTTCACATTTTAGTTATTCCAGTGTATTTTTAAAAATGATGTCATTTGAGAGTGGTAATGGCCAATCTTAATAATTAGGGAGTCGTAATCGAGCGAGCCAACGATTAAGGACGTTGTAAGATAAACAACATTTATCAGAGAATTGGAGCACCAAATGCAGATATGTTGGTGAGTGATGAAGTGGAAATGTACAGTTATTTAAACGAACTTTCGTAACTTAAATCGAAATCAAAAAAGGTACTAGTAGAAAATTAATAAAATTTTATTTATTAAAAAAAAGTATATTGAAACCGAAAATTTATTGTTATGGCGAGACAGGATAAATGCAGGACATACAGTTTCCAACGTTTAGTAAGTTTTAAACATCAACGGTAGACGTGAAACATTTTTGGAAAGATTTTCTAAGGGATTAAAGGCACCCTCTGGGAAAGGACGGCGGTTAATAATTACACATAACGGAAGTGAGGTTTACATGTTGTTACGAAAAAGAGATTATGGACAATGTGGATATTTGAAAAATGTTTTGCATATATTTTGCCTCAAATTGCTGGTACAGTGATTGTCATCGATGATGCGCCTTACCATAGTCGACGAATAGGAACATTGTCAACAATCATGGAATGTTTGAACGGAAATATAAATACATTATATTAAAAGTACGATTATTAGCAACTGCAGAAGAAAGGAAGTAGTGAAATCTTGCAGTTTTACATTTCCTCGATTGCCATTATACCATTGTCAACTGAACCCCATTGAACTAATCTGAACAGATATAAAAACTTATGTGGTATGAAAAAACACAATTATTTTCAAATGACAGCTGTGATAGCGTTAGTGACAGTGATAGTGACAGTTAAAACATTAATTAGTGATTTTCCCCATAGATCTAATAGTATACTATAATCTATGGATTTTGGACGTCAGTGGTGTAAGCCATCTTTGCGAAGGCAAAATGCCCAATACATATTTTAGTGTAAAAAAAACTCCCTGCCACCTGAGGATAAACCAGGATGAGAAAATCGACATATCTAATTGCTTTCCATGTTTAAAAATATTTCTACAATGATACGCCCATGGAATCGCATTTCCCGCACGGATCTCTACGTTGAGAATGGGCCTCTGCCCACAATTTTGGGTCTCTATTATAGTGACTGTTGAAATATCATTTTCGTTTTTGTTTCAGAGAGAGCGGAAACAGAAAAAACTGTACTCGGAGGACTGGGCGCTGGGCGACGAGGACATTGAGGGGCGGCGGACGTTCAATCTACAAGACAAACTGGACGACCCCGCGTTCTCCTCCAGCAACATCGTCAAGGAGATGCACGGCAACGAGCTCAACGTCGCCTATTTTCAGAGGCATGGCTTCAACACTCCCCTACTGTTCAAAGAAAAGACTGGATTAGGTGAGTGCTCGAATTCGGGGTTTTTCACGACGAGGTTTTAGGGGGAAGGCGAATCGAATACGCCGATGTTTTGAAATTTTTATTTTAATACTAGCCTCCATAGGCGCTATTTGGGTTGGCAAGGGGGCAGAATTATCGCGACAATTATTTTCACATGATGCGATGAAAAATACACATAATTGTAAAGCAGAATTTTGTACACAACAGTGATATAAATGTAAAATAACAAAAGTCCTACTCATATTTCAAATATCTGCATTCTGTACCACATTTCAAAATCTAATTGTCATATATGGCACTTACTCAAGTCATAAAGTTGTGTGTGCTAATTGGTATGACCTTGATATGTCGTTTTTTTCTAAACCTTTGGTGCGTTTTTTACAAACATATTCTGTCGATCCAGATCTAAGTTATGGAGGTGATCCAATTATCGATATTTTATTAACTTCTGAGAGCGTACAGACTATCTGGTTAAATTGGACATGAACTCGGTTAGTCCACTATTTTTATCAAAATGTGAGAATAGTCCGTACCTTTAAGACAAATTACGTATATCCAAATCTATACAATTTAAAGTAAAATGTTTTGTATTAGAGATTGGAAGTCTAGGCACTCCACTGAGTTGTTACCAAGTTGCTTCAAGAATTACGTGCAGAAGGAGAAATATTACAGAAAAATATTTTGCGAGCGAATAATTGATTTCGATTATCTTTAATAAAACGAAAGACCCACTGATGATAACACCATTACAAAAATTAAGCACTTTCCAATGTCTAGTGGTATATGCACGTGCAATTTATAGTTTCTTCTGCGACTTCTACTCTACAAAAATGTCACTCACAATGAACTACTGTGCTTTAAAATGTATGCAATATTCTCAGAATGTTACATGCACGTAGGTATGTGTGCAGCAATATTCTGTCGCCACTTCCTCTTTTTACCGCACGTGTTATGTAGAATTTGAATTTCTGTGAAAGATTCTAGGACGACACTGGAATGTACGATTGACTCACGGACCTTGGTTATATATTATCCAGGGTATAATAACGATTTCAAGACAAACTTTACATGATCATTTCTCTTAAGAATTAATAAAATATAAGAGCAAAAAAGACGCTTTGGTCTTATATTTGTCATAAACGGGATGTAAAACTGTTTTTAATAAAAAAATACAAATTTATATNTATTACAGAAAAATATTTTGCGAGCGAATAATTGATTTCGATTATCTTTAATAAAACGAAAGACCCACTGATGATAACACCATTACAAAAATTAAACACTTTCCAATGTCTAGTGGTATATGCACGTGCAATTTATAGTATCTTCTGCGACTTCTACTCTACAAAAATGTTACTCACAATGAACTACTATGCTTTAAAATGTATGCAATATTCTCAGAATGTTGCATGCACGTAGGTATGGGTGCAGCAATATTCTGTCGCCACTTTCTCTTTTTACCCCGCGTGTTAAGTAGAATTTGTACTTCCGTGAAAAATTCTAGGACGACACTGGAATGTACGATTGACTCACGGACCTTAGTTATATATTATACAGGGTATAATAACGACAAGACAAACTTTACAGGATCATTTCTCGTAAGAATTAATAAAATATAAGAGCAAAAAAAAGCTTTGGTCTTATATTTGTCATAAACCGGGTGTAAAACAGTGTTTTTAATAAAAAATACAAATTTATATCTTGGTATGTCAATTTGAAAAGCGAGCAAAAAAATAGTAATAGAGACATACAGGATGTTACAAAAAAAATAGGTCAGGTCATTAACTGCAGAGTTTACGGAACTTCTTATGCCATTTAGGTGCCTTTTTTCAAGGTGCAAGCCCTTTCGCGCATTTTGATATATTTTTATGTTTTCCAAATTAAAAAAAATGCGTCAGTATAAAATTAGATTTCAATAAGACTCAAAATTTCAACTAATTATTTTTATTTAAAAAACTAGCGTTATTAATAAAAATCTCTCATTTTTAACTTCGACACGGCTCTCTTGAAAAGAAACATTTAAATGAGAAATTGCTTAATTGGGCGCGGGCACGACAGACAATCGACGGCCGATTATTCTTCAATTATACAAAAACATAAGATCGACCCTGTGCATTTTCGTTATTATTTTATTTTCCGTCTTTCTGTCTTGTGTGCCAGGAATAAGGAAAGACCTAATATTTTCACCCAAGGAATCTATGGTTAGTGCCTTTATCTACTTTTTTTAACGCTGTATGTAAAAATGTGAAGAAAATGTGATAGAGAAAAACGTTTGCCTTGAGAACCACTGAGCTTAAAAATTGAGATAGATCAAGAGGAATTGACTAGGTACTAGGATTAGTGATTAAATGGAAAACCCAAGAAAATATAGCTTCAATACAGTCAAAAGCAAAATAAAATTAGAAACCGGAGTCTTTTTTATTCCTTTAGAAAAAGCTCTGAATTTAAAAATATTAAGTTATATTCCGAACAAACCTCGTATTTGATGATACTGTAGCAGTTTTAAACTCCATCTACTATTCATTATCTGGAACATAACATACTCCAACGTAACATACATATAGATGGCGTTTACATTTAACAAACTTCAAGGGACTTTACCAGACTTTGAATCTGTTAAAACTAACTTGGAGCTAACTTAATTACATCATAATTGTTCTCTTGTATGTTCTTAGAATGATAGAACGTCAGACGTTATAAATACTTGTTACCGATCAATGTTTATAGGTACGCCATTGCATAAATACTCGATCGTAAATAATAGTAGCTTCAGTATATTTTCTTTAGTATTTTTAGAAAGTTCCAAAATGTTTTACAGATGTCATAAAAGTTTATGCTCCTCCCGGTTTTATCAAACGTCAGCACGTAGTCGTGGAGCAATGCCTTTTGCGAATTTTTAAATGTGTCGCGGTTTAAAATTTATGTAAAAAATCGGAGTTAGTTGTGGAGCTATGGACTATTTCTCTCTAAATTTATGGATTAGTGGTTCGAGATAGTTAAATTTCGTGGTTTCCAAGGTCCCCCCCGTAGGTCCCAGTGGAGTCACCTTGTTCGATATGGGTTGGGAACAAAGAGCAAAGCCGTTTTCGCTTCGGAGCTCATAAAATGTTTCCGAATATTACGTGCAACAAGTCTTACAGTCCATTGTTGCGTAGATTTTATTATTTAGGAAAGTCGTTTTTTAAATAAACTCCCTCACACACTTTAATTCCTGCTGTCGTTAACGGTAAATTTAAAGTTAATAATTATTTCTGCGTCCTTTCTTGTAGTTAACCGCATTCGACATCCGAGATAAAACGACATTGGAGGAAAGTTTCAAAACACGCCCCCGCTGCAGTAAATTGTTGCAGTAGTTTGGATAACAGAACTTTATTGGCTTATTCTTTTCTTGGAGTTCTATCAACAAATATTGTACGGACTGTATTTTATTTACCTGAGATCTCAGCATTAGATATACAAGACAATCTAATTACATATTGACATTCCCCAGAGTATTAGGCCATCCGTAGCCAGGGAGCAGAGAAGTCAAGGCCGTTAGTTTTAAGAAAACACGGCTAAGAAGAGATGTAATTTGTTACTTAAACTAGGGTAATATATGTAATCATTACATTTAAATTTTTTAATAGAATTACCGCTATCTTTATTAATTTTTAAATAATATGGCTTACACGGCATACCTTATGTGTAAAAAGTATAATTTTTAAAAATAAATACATTTAATATTAGAAATATAAATACTTATAGAGTAAGGTATTTTTGAGTAATTAATTTTTTAAATGTAAAATGGACATAGTTGAATAAAAAAAAATAACTCCAAAACTTTCGTTTGGCAAAAGAGTAGAATTTTTTTTGTTATAGTCTTTCCGAACAACATTATACATGTTGAAAAAGGTCTTGCAATAAATTTTAAAATTATTTATAATAATTTGTATATAATGAGTAGAAAATTTCTATTATAATATCCATTTGGCCAACAACATATTTTAATTATTTATGTCCTCAAACAATTTTATTATATTGATGATAAATTTAGTTTTGTTCCATTTCAAAAGATCTCCAAAATGCCATGTTGTAACAATATTAGTAAACAAAATATCCCACTTATTTATCCTTTTCGCAATTGTAATATGAATGATTAATAGAATGTGCCTATAATAAATCAAAATGAGCTGAATCACACCAAATTCCGCATTGCTGCACTGCACTGCTATGCAATTAGTCATCAACTGAAATTTATTGCCCAGTCGCCCAGTGCAGCTGTGTTATAAGCCGTTTGCCCGCTCGCGCATTCTTCAACTGGGCGTATACATTTCTACCACCTCCACGTTTAGTTCGACCAGACCTGTATATGGGTATGGTTAAATAAATATGAGAACTAGTTTTTCAAATATTTCAATGCCGAGTTGCTCTCGCCATCGTCTTGGTTCTTCATTTGAGATCGGAAAGACTGTACAAATTAAATTTTATATGTAACGTAATTATGAAAAGTCCAAAATAATAATTAACAAGGACTTTACCTCGGACTTTACTTTCCCAAAGAGTAGTAACTCCCTAAACATATTAAAATTGCTGTGTCAATGATTTTTTTGAGCTTATGATTATATTGTATTTATTATGTAAATTATATTTCTAGCAAAAATTCATATAATTTTTTTGTGAGACATATATTTTCGAAATTAATTTCGAATTATTCAAATATGTAAACAAAAACGGCTGGTTTTTCTGAATGAAATGGAAGACATTAGTTTTCTTACGCCATCACGAATTAAATACATTTATTTTCTTAGTTACCATAACTCACAGCGTCTCCGCCACTGATTGACAGATTTGTATAGCATTTTAGTAACTGCCCATAATAACCATGTCAGATATATTTGAGGGAATAAAATATATTTTTTAATTCGAATACTGTATCTCGATAACGTCGAAATGTTCTAGCAGCAAATAAAGTTAGGCGTTTGCATTTTGGGACACCGTGTATAACTATTTTTTATTCTCTTACATTTACTACTAGTCAGATTTTAATGACTCGCTTTAATCTTTCCTGATTTTTTCAGTATATTTTTTATTTAATTTACTCTTACTGTTAGTTTCTTTCGATTATTCTTCGATGTTTCGCTTTAGGTTTGAGGGTGCCCACCTCGAACTTCACCATAAACGACGTCAGGATGTGCGTCGGGTCGCGCAGGGTTCTAGACGTGATGGACGTCAACACGCAGAAGAACAGCGAGATGACCATGAAGGAGTGGCAGAAGTACTATGAGGACACCGAAAAGGACAAGCTGCTGAATGTGATATCCCTGGAGTTCTCCCACACGAAGCTGGAGAACTACGTCCAGAGCCCGACGGTAGTCAGGTATGTTTGAAAACCTTCATTTACCCGTGTTCTACACTATAATTTTTTCTAAATACTCACTTCGCCATACTAGAGTTTCATTCTCTTCTATTAGCATACTTTTTAACAAAATGAAATCCGTGAATCTTTTTAGGAATCGTATATTTAATATCGTCAATTTTACTTTTTTTTGTCACACGTCTCACTTTTAACACTATCACCACTTCTGAATGCACAATAAAGACAGACACCTTCATTAAAGAACTGCATATTTCCAAGAAATTACTCACATACATAACAGCTTTTAGTGCTTGAATTCTCTGATAAACATTATACCATACAACGTTGGTCTGTTAAATTCACTCGTTTACAATCACTCTCATTATTAACACATTGTCCACTAACGCTCATACGCAATTCCATTTTAAAAAATGTACTGGAATAACTAAAATGTGTCAATAATATGTTTTTTCTCAAATATTATGCACGCATATGATATGAAAGGAACGCCTATGCTGAGAACTGATAAATAGTCCGTTTTAAAATTCTTTATAAGTTTTATAAAAGTTACTCAGTTTAATGATTGTTCACGTAAATTTAATCTCTCAAGGACCAAAATTCACTCTTTACTCTCGAACGCTAGGTTTTAAAGTATTTTTAATGCACAGAATGCAAAAAAGTTATTATTTATACCATTATCACCTAAAGGACTGCATGGTAAATGACTAATAAATCAGCAGAATGAATATTCACAATTATTTAACCCGTTACTTCCAGACAAGTGGACTGGGTAGATTGCGTCTGGCCAAGACACCTAAAAGAAAGCCAGACGGAAGCCACCAATGTCTTAGAAGAGATGAAGTACCCCAAAGTCCAAAAATACTGCCTTATGTCCGTCAAGGGATGCTACACAGACTTCCACGTGGATTTTGGGGGCACTTCGGTGTGGTATCACATATTAAAAGGTAAATTTCTTAAAAACTGCACATAACTACGAACAATATTTTGTAATAAAAAAATATATATTCTAGGATGCAAAGTGTTCTGGTTGATACCGCCAACGGAACACAACCTTGATCTCTATGAGCGCTGGGTGCTTTCCGGGAAGCAGTCGGACATATTCTTCGGTGATACCGTAGAGAAATGCGCGAGGATAGTCCTACACGAGGGCAACACTTTCTTCATACCCACCGGATGGATACACGCCGTCTACACACCCATGGATTCCTTAGTTTTCGGGGGAAACTTTCTTCACTCGTACGGAATTGACAAACAGTTAAAAATTGCACAGGTGGAAGACACGACGAAGGTAAGTGTTGATCTTTACAGTGATAGGAAATCCGTGATTTGTGTCCACGATAAAACTATTAATCTGTTTTATTTTCAAGAATTTTCAGTTCCGCGCACAATGTTCCAATAAATTTTCTGGTAATTGGATACAACATTTGTTGAAAACAGTAATAATATAATAAAGTTTTGTAAACAAAAATAACTTCAAATAGTTCAAATGCATCAAGATCATGAATTTAAGAAGAAGAAGAAGATTTAGAACTTGCCATTTTCAATTTGAGCTCTAATAATTTCCATGTTTTTTTTTCATGATATCTCAGTTAATCTCTAAATGACTGATCACCATGCAGAATAACATTAGCTGAGATCTCAGTTAAATAAAATGGGCCTTTTATAACCTTTTTCTTTGTCAGCCTAGCTTAATGTCCTTTGGACAAGGGCTAAAACTAAAGAAGAAGAAGATAACCTCTTTATCATTATGCATAGTGAAGTTAGTCAAGGAATGATTTAAATTCTTAAGTTAAGACAAAATATAAATTTAATTAAAGGATGATTATGTGTTCTTTCAGGTACCTCAAAAATTTCGATATCCGTTTTTCACTGAAATGTTATGGTACGTCCTGGAGCGATACGTGCATTGTTTGTTGGGCAATTCTCATTTAACCACCGGCCACGACTCACCTATACCTCCAGATAGACCACATATACATCTCACACAAGCAGAATTGCACGGACTTAAGGTGGGTTATATAAAAATAATAATATTGCATTCCCCCTTTTTAATACACATTTTAAATGTGTTATTAGGAAATTGTGATGTACCTACACATGCTGCCGCCTAACAAGAAAAATGTGCCTGATCTACTGAGGGATCCGGTCTCTCTCATTCAAGACGTTAGGACGCTCATAGGCCTTCACAGGCAAGACAGTCGCGAATTAGCTGTTACGGGACGACCTATACTTACAGGTCAGAAATATAAAATGTTTGTGTTCCCGTAAACTTTAATCCCAAGTTGCCCAAATCAGTAAAATTTTGTTTTTTTTTTACTTAGTGACGGAGGATATAGACAACAGATCGAAAATAATGAATTCTCGGGGACCATACAATAAGGGGAACAATCTGAGTAAATCTTTAAAACCTGGGCTGTTCAAGGGACCGAAATCTTCTCCGGCAGGTGACAAAGGGGGCCCTCGGAGACGAAGGACAAGGTATGTCATATTAAAATTCTGACAGAGATATTCGAGGTACAATTTCATCCACTGTTTTTAAATTTTTTTAGGTGCAAGAAATGTGAGGCCTGCCAAAGGAGCGATTGCGGAGAGTGCAGCTTCTGCCTGGACATGGTTAAATTCGGGGGCCCCGGCAGGGCCAAACAGACATGCAACATGCGCCAGTGTCTCCAACCGATGCTGCCAGTTACCGCGGCCTGCTCCCACTGCGGTCTGGACGGATGGATGCAGACGCCCGTTACGCCCTTACAGAAGGGACCGCAGCGCTGTGAGAGTGCCAGCAATTTGATGGAGTGCTCGGTAAGTGGATATATGATCTATATTTTTTTATTTTTTTTCGTGGGAGAACGATTTATTTAAACAAAGAAAATGTAATGATATTATTAGTTTTTTGCTGTTATTTTTTTTTTAATAGAATTCTTATGAGAATTTTTTATTTTTTTTAAGCAATTTTGTATTAATTCTCAAAATTGGATCATCCTGTGCATGAGTACTTAGACGTGTTTTTGTTGTTGAAGGTGTGCTACGAAATCGCCCACCCCATTTGCATGCAACGGCTGTGCCCGGAATTCACCGGGTACATCAACGAGGACATGCCCAACTCTTGGGAGTGCCCCATGTGCTGCAAACTGGGCAAAAACACCGACTACAGACCACGTCACTTCCGCGCCAGGCAAAAATCGTCCGACATGCGCAGAATGTCCATCAGTTCCGACGCATCGAGTGCTTTCGACAACAAGCACCACCAGGAACAGGTGTCGGACTCGGGTAGTGAAAACGACAACAAAGACAATAAGGAGTTGCTGCCGATAAAGAAACGTAGGTCTAGTGATAGTGCCGAGGTGGAAACGAAAACGGTGGCGATTAGCGATCCGCCACGAAAGACTGCTTTCAGGATGCAGCTAGCACATCAAATAGCTAGTAACTCTACTAAGGTGTTGAAAAAGCCGATGGTGGTCGTACGACCGGCGCCGCTCATGATGCTTAACACTCTCCCGACGAATAACCTGGCTTTGGACAAGCGTTGTATACTGCACGTCTTTAAATATTTAAACCCAAAAAACTTGCTAGTGTGTGCGTTGGTTTGCAAAACCTGGGCTACTTATACCATAGATCCCTCCTTGTGGAAGCAAATGGTCTTTAACCGTAGACACATATCCTCCGACATACTCAAAGGTATCGTCCGCCGGCAACCCGAATGCTTAAACTTGGACTGGTGTCATATAAATAAATTTCAACTACCCTGGCTCATCCAGAGGTTGAATCAACTGAAAGAGTTGTCCCTCGTGAGTGTTAACATAAAAACTGCGATTTCGTTGCGCACGAATCACTCCGCCATTTTACAAGTCTTAGATTTAAGTTTCGTCTCGGACTTCTCGGATTCTGCTCTTAGGGAAATCCTCGGGCCGAACAACGACTCTCGCGGTGGTCTGACGACCGAAAAAATCCGCTTTCGCAACTTAAGAGGTCTGAAGCTCGTGGGTACCGACGTCACCGATATCGCCATGCGGTACGTCACCCAGTACCTCCCCAGTTTGCAACACTTGAACTTAAGTCTGTGCCCGCGCATCTCGGACGCCGGTATCGCTCAACTAAGTACAAAGCCGGCTAACACGGTTGCGAATCTGGTCAGTCTGGACTTGAGCCACTCGAAGTTGGTGACGGAGAACAGTTTAGAATACCTATCGAAATGCGAGAAGCTGACGAGATTGGACTGTAGGCATTCGCTGCAAATATCCACTCAGGCGCTTATCAAATTTGCCGCTAAGAGCGAACATAATCTGCAGGTTAGGGATATCAAACTCGTAGACGTTAGACAGAAAGTGCAATGAATATAAATAAAACTTTTGATATTTCGCTTCATGGATATCAGCCACTTGTAGACAACCGGCAGGACTTGTTAAATCGCCTTAACCCACTCCAAGTCTCAGTCCCGTACAAAATGTAGTACAGCCGAAATCTTCAATATCGCTTATGGCTACCCTTTCCCTTTTTATAGCAGAGTGCAAGAAGAGCCCTAAACGACGGACTGATACGAATAGTACCCGTCGGTTCCTTGCTTAGGGTGGTACTTCTGTGATAAGTATGCCGCTGAATTAAATTAATTCGGCCATATCATATTTATTTGTACCTACCAAAGTTTATATTTATGTTTTCTTTATATGTGATGAATTAATTGATATGTAACGTTCTTTGTGTATATAGTTTAATTTGTTGAGAGAATGTTTTATTTGTGTTTGATTACAAAGTGGATGTTATTTGTCTGTAACTTTCGATATAACGTATGAAGTTATTATAATTTGTGCAATTTGATGAATCGGCACAGTTTTTATGTATAAAAGTATTACTAGTAAGTAGTAAGATATATTTTTTTCGGTTTACTTTGTATAAATTTATAGAAAAATAAATTTTTATACTAAATACAACTTTTGTTTTCTGTGAAGTGCTTTCTCGCTTTCTCTCTGTTTATATTTATACTGGATCTTCTCAAGCAATTTTTTCAACGATATAATCTTGACTTTAAATCTGTTTTCCCTTTTAAGTTTAACTTTTAATCGAAGTTAAGCCAAATTGAGACAAAGATGTGGAAGTGATGAGAATGAGCGTCGAATTTCAAGTGATGCCATTTTAAAGCCTATTTGTCAAAAGTATTGATGATGGTGATGGCCAGAAAATTAGGCCAATCAATAGCAGCAAATTTCATGTATTTCCTTTTGAAAAATACTTAGTAAATGAAAGTCCAAGTGATTTCCCCAGCAAAGTCGTGAAACATTACACAATAAAAACTGCAAAAAATTCAATTTTGTTTTGGTTTTTCTATAATATCTTGAAAAATAATGATGGTATCATCTTACTCTCAGTAGGACTTTTGTAGAGAATAAAAAAACCTATAAAATGGTTTTTTTGGGCGACCCGATTGGTTCATTTTTTACAGAGAAAATTTGGAAAATCCTAATTTTTTAAAAAAAGGGTCTTTTTTGCACAGCATGGTGATTCATCAAAAATGGTCCGATTTAAATTCTGAAAACCGATTCTGAAATTCCGAAAGTAGTCGACAAAATGTCCTTGAAAGTCACCCGAAACGTTCGAAAGTACGCTCGTAAGGGTCCGTTGGCGGTAGTGGGAGAAGCAGCGAGCAGAGGATTCTGGCTCGAACGTACTTTTGCTCGTTTCGGGTGACTCAAGGGCATTTTTAGCATATTTCCTATCACCCAGACAAAAATCCGAGATAAACAAATTGGAGATTTTGTCTGTCTACTTTCAGATGCCGTTTTCATAATTTAAATTAGATCATTTTTGATAAATCGTCACACTGTACAAAAAAAGACCCTAATTTGTTTATAATGCAATTGTGTAAAAACTATGCATCGTGCAGAACCCATCTTACGGTACAATTAAACTACATATCTATTATTTTCCGCAAAATTATTATTGTTCCAGCTTCAAATTTGATGGAGTTATGAATTTTTGAAAAAAGGTCTATTTTAGAGGTTTTTCCGGATTTTCTGTGTAAAAAATGAACCAATCGGGTCGCACAAAAAACCGTTTTATAGGCATTTTTATTCTCTACAAAAGTTCTATTGAGAGTAAGACGATACCATCATTATTTTTAAAGATATTATAAAAAAAACAAAATAAAGACATTTTTTTGCAGTTTTTGTTGTTTAAAAAAGAACACTTGGGTTTTCATTTACCTACTAAGTATTTTTCAAAAGGTAATACATGAAATTTGTTGTAATATTTAAGTGTGCCAAAAAATCTCTATTGGTTGGCCTAAACTTAGCAGTGCAAACATAGAGTTTTTCATGTTTATTCAGCTGCAGTTTCTTTCTATAATAGTGATTTAAGATGTTCATGGTCCTTGCTATGTAAGTACCTGGTTGCTACCAGTTACACACTTATGATTCGCTTCCTTAATCTTAGTTAGGAGTCTTTCATCTACCCTTGTTGTTCTCGGACTGGGTCCTGTGGGACAGATCCTCTAACAGAATCTCTAGGCCCACCTGGACCTGCTTTTCAGAAAATAGTGCTTCTCTGAGTTGTTCTGTAGTGGCTTCTATAACTGGTCACATCTAATACTTCTGAAAGATTTGCTGTCCTTCACTATCAGCATCTTTAGTGTTGACTACAAAAGCTTTATCACGAAGCGGCGACTAGGTGCATAGTCCACGACATAACCCAGAAAACAGTTGATCATTGATATGTTTGCTAATAAGTAGGGCTGTAAACACCAACAAATATGAATTCATTATACAACATCCTCTCTATAACTAAGCAACAGTATACTAATTTGACGTGAACGTGAAGAGCATTCTGAGGCAGCGGCTCACGCGTGTCTTGGTTGACCCTCTTGGCACGCCATTGAGTTGCGGCTCTCTCTCTGTCTCTGACAGCCCTACTAATAAGTTTACTAAATTTCAGTTCAGATTTGTATTTTTGGAACTTTCTTGTGGTATGATAAGGATTGTTTTCGAATTTTTTTACTGTTAGATTGTTCTTTAACTACTATTGAACTCAAAGTTTTATCTAAAACTATGTAAAGTGAGAAAAAGAGACTGGCAAATCCATTAGTTTCCACTGGTTTTCAAAAGATCCTCAGTTAAGAAATAACGGTGCTATCGAAAATATGTCTGTATATACTTATTGAACCAAATAAATAGTTTTAGAAATTTTTGTCTCGTTCTGACATCGAAGAATGAGCCATACGAAAAGATAGATAAGATAGTAAGTGAACTTTTTCAGTTGAAAGCCTCAATAAGACAGCTACATATAGGACTTTTGAAAATTCCTGGGATAAGTACTGTTAAATTGAATCAAAGTTGGAGGAATTGAAAATAAAAATGTTGAATTATGTCAAAATAAAAAACGGTAATTTTGTGCTGTGCTTAGTTATTATTTGTGATAATTAGGGTTTCTGTATTTATGTTGTGTAATATTGCAAAAATAAGTAAATAATATATACAGGTATTAGAAAAACACTGTCTTTTTTTTTGGTTTCAGTTTGGTGTACCTTTCTCTTTCGGAATTAACATGAGTGTGTACTCACAATGAACAAGTTTTTCAGAAATTTTTTTATGTCAAGATTTCATTATCTCTGTGGTCCAGATGTGCTGTAATATCAAAATATTACAAATGTAATGATCAAATATCTACTCAGGTATAAATGATTAAAAAGATTAATAAATAATTCAGGTAACTAGTATTGAGTTAAATGATAGAAATCAAATTATAATACCGATGACGTATTCCCGCTTCAGAGATTTCATTGGACAGCTCAAGGTCAAAGTTTGTAGGCAACCTACTTTGCGACCTTGCAATGATACAGACTACCAAAAAGAAGAAGAAGAAGAATAGAGTCTTGATTACTTCCTAAGTTTAAAATTGCTCCGTTTGTTAGGACAAATCGTAAAAGCGCATGTGTAAATATCGAAAATTGAGAACGCAGACTCGTGAAAGAACTTTGTGCTGTTTGAATAGTCCAAGAAAACAGGATTTATCTTATTAAGCGGCATTTAGATTTACGCGTACGCAGATCCGAGTGGGAAATCTAAACGTCTATTACACAGTAATAGTACACGTTTATATTTCCGAATTTTCATCCCTGTAGTCCCACTTGGATCAGAGTATTCGTAAATGTAAATAGTGTAAATACCGCTTTAGAAGTGGTTCTAAAGAAACCAAAATGGTATTTACAAAGTGCGCATGAGCAGCAGAGCAGATTGTTATAGACTCGAAGTGTGAATCAAAACAAAGCTACAATTAACTGACGTTTCAAACGACGAACGAAATGTATTTTTATCGTAGATGTGACAGTTTTTTTATAAAGTTTTTTTAGTACAAAAAAATGTAAAATTAAATGTGATACCAGTTGATATTTGCCATTATTTAGCTCTAAAGTAAGTATAACTAAATGCATATATATTTATTTCTTCAAATAATACTTGTTTTAACGTAAAAAACGGTTAGAATTTAAATTTGAATCATTTTTAGGTAATAATAATAATAATGCTGAAACGTAGAAGAAATCGGAGAAATCGGAAAGGTCGTGGTAGAAAATCAGTTTCAAATGAGGAAAATTCTATAGCACCTCCATCATGTGAAGTGATGCGAGCATGTTGTGGTGATAACTCTTTTAATAGAAGTAAACCACTTAGTCAATTAGAACTAGTGACGCCATTAAAGAATTCGAACACAGAACTATTTGAGGATGATTTATCACCAGTATGGGCTACACCTGTAAATAAAAGTCGTAGTATGATTAGACTAGAGGGAAAGAAATACAGTTCCACTTCATTTTTTTCTTCAGACTTATTTCAGCAAAAATCTTCTACCCCAGTTGAGAAATTCAATCAAGACAACAGTATATTGGATAATGTAAAAGAGCCTTTGATACGAGTCCTTACAGAAGCTCCAGAATTAGATCTGAATTTGAATTTAAATGAAAGTCCCTTGTCGGAAAAGGTTAATATATATATTTTTTTCTAACCAGTAATATTGGAAACCGTGAAAGTATAGCTTATACTTATTAACTTTGTAGGTTCTTAACAAAGAAGACAATTTGAAAATTCAAACACGAATATTCAGTAAAAGACATTCTTTGACTTATTCTAAGTTAAATAGCATTAGGAGATCGTCAGTGGACAGTGTAGAGTCCGTTAGCAGACACATCAGAGGTGGCATAGGCGAGAAATTACTGACTAGACTGAAGAAGTACACCAGAACTTCTCAAAGATGGTCGGTTAAAGTGGTACACTTATGCACTCAGCTAGGGGTTCAGTTGAAAAATGTAAGTATTTACGTAATATATTATCGGCTGAGCACTGTTGTTCCTACCGTTTTAGAGCTTGTCTTCGATGTGCAACGTATACAATGAAAAGTCAATGTTGCAAAGTTCCGAAACGCCCATTTGCAAGTGTGAGGAGTACACAGAAGTTATTTCCGGCCTTAACGTGAAAATGGAGGAGCTCACCGAGGAAATTAGATTTGTTAAATCACAGCTGGAAAAAGAAAAATCTAACAAAGATAATATAGAAACGATAAGTCAAGAACTAAATAAGGTAATTTTAATCCAATTTTACTATAATAATGGTGTGGATTTTTTTATATTTTTAATTTAATTCCGATTGTTATTATTTGTAGGTCAGAGAGGAATTACTTCAATTTAAAGAACTTCGCTCCGAACTAGAGGCTCTAAAGGAGCAATTAAACTGCTTAAAATCCACACCAATTATGACACCTGCCCCATCACCTTGTTTACCACCCCCACCACCACCACCGCCTCCACCACCGCCACCACCACCATCAACGATACTTTCGAATCCACTGAAGATTTCAGTGAGAACCAAAACCAATTCTATTGACAATTCTAGGCCTGTTATATCACTGGATGATATACTGAAAGTAAAACTTAAGAAAACATCTGTGAGTATCTAACTTTTGATATTGTTATATTTTTAGAATTCCCGATTTATGGTCTTTGAACTATAGTGTTTTGAAATTAACTCAGTCGGTTACTACAGAGAAATTTGTTTTTTTTGCTTGGATGTGAATTTAATTGTGACTAAATACGAATCGAATTTAAGCAGACCCCTTAAAACTTCAAGAACACTTTTAATTGGTCGCTCTGTTCATAAATAATGTTAACCCTGTACGCACTGGAATAATTAAAATGTGAAAATAGCATGTCCTGCTTTTGCACGCACATGACATGAAACTAAACTCCTAGGCTCGGAATCGATACATCTTTTTGTACACAAGCGAATATAGAAATGGATGCTGGTATAGTCGTTACGATATCAGTTGGCACCGCATAAAAACATTTAACTCATAAACTCTACTGAATCTATAGACGTCCAGAAAAATTTTGTCCTGTCTCGTCTAGAAGTACTATATTCCGAGCTATATTCCTATTTAGTTGACGAAATTCTCTAATTTTTTGTAAATAATCTTCCCGAAATGCAACTATACGTCGTGATTCCATAATTACCATACGATTGTCAAGTTTTTTATGTTTAAAACTGCATTGTAATAAAACATGTCATAAAGTATCTAAAGATTTATCATTATAATCAGGATAATCGCTTCATTTATCTCAAATCATGTTTAAAGTAGGAACTTTATTTTCTTTATACATATAAATTGTACGCTGTATTACATCTCTGGTAAAATCGTCAATATTCTTTAATTTTGTATTTTTCCGTTTCTTCTTTGTACCGTGATTAATAACGTCTCCTTCTTTAATTATGTGAAAAATTGTCATTTTTGATATCTTAGTTAATTCGCTAATCCATTTCCTATTTTCTTTATCTCATTGTTCACTATTTTCTGTTTTCAAACATTCATATACAGGGTTGGAAAGTCCGCGTGGCTCATCGGCCGTTACGTGAGAGCGATAAAGAAAGTCATAGAAATCCGTGCGATAGAGAAAGATGGCTATAATGAAAGCGTCTAATAGTCGCCGCCCATTTCAACCTTCCACAAATAAGATCCACTTTTTATTTGTGGAAGGGCGAAATGGGCGGTGACAATTAGACGCCTTCATTATAGCCATCTTTCTCTATCGCACGGATTTCTATGACTTACATTATCGCTCTCACGTAACAGCCGATGAACCATGGGAACTTTCCGAACCTGTATATATTTAAAATGATATGTTGATGTGGTACGTGTAAATCTTTGTTTTTAAACTCCGAGTTTGTTTCAACGCTTTGGAAAAAAACCGGCTCGACTATTTGAAAATTTTCCCAGGTTATTTCGTTGTCTTCCGTTTCAAAGGGTCTCCAGAAAGCCATGCTTTGTAACAGTTAATACGTTTTTGTTTTACCAGCTTTAAAACAGAAATTCATTTCTATACCCTGTTTAATGTATGTCTCAATTATTGGATACCGAGATACCTGTATTCAAAATTCTGAAGTCCAGTTTTTGTTAACTAAAAATCTCTTTAGGAACGTTCCAGTTCCTTAACGCCGACATCACGTCGCTCCTCCCAGCCCGTGGTCTCGATGGACGTGCTCAGACAGGTGAAGCTGCGACCAGCATCACGTCCCTCTTACCTCCGAAGCACTCCTGACACGGGGTCTACCCCGACATCGACAAGTCCCCACTCCAGCCTCTGCAGGTTACTAACAAATGACGGTTCAATGTTTCGGTTGAAACGATTGCGAAAAGTTGGTGGGTATAGCTTTGATTCTGTTCACAGGAGAAACGTCGTGAGTAAAAGGGAGAGAGACGTCAGCTGAGAGGGTGGTCACAGGCCAGAATTTTGTGATATTTCTAGTTTTATTTAATGTACTATTTATACTGGGTGTTGTAATATATTGTATTTTTAAAACTTTTTAAATTTTGTTGACTGGGCTATTTTTGGCAGAGTTTTGTGTATTTTATGTGTCTTGTTCGTTTTCGCTATAGTATAAGAAAATGTTTGTAAAACGGTGTAAATAAATCGTTTTTGTTATACGAATAGCGAATCTCAAACAAATAATAGTATGTTTCTAATTATTTACCAATTTATTTATTGATAGGATAGGAAATATGGACAAATATATTAACATTTTTTTTATAGTGAGGATTTATGCGTACTGTAAATTATAATAATATTAATATTACGTATGAAAACGGAAGACGATCAAATCATTTATAAGTTTCCTATTTCTGACTATAAATTGTAGCAGCAACATAATATTTAATATATTTCATTCAAAGAAAAATATTAACTCGATGTCAATTTTTATCGATCATATTTTATGGAAGTTCCTCTAAACTGAAAATGCAGTAAGTACGTACGTCCATTTTATATTGCCATTGTTATTATTATCTTGTGATATATAATAAACTATTTTGAAATATTAATGCCATTTTCTATTTTCTGTATCAAATTTTAGTCTTTAGAAATTACCTACTCGAGATGTGCTGTAATTTAAAACTACGCTACTGACATATTTAAGTATTTTTTTACAAACCTACTCTGCAAGTACTCATACAGTAGTTCATTTGAACTTTTGATCGCATTGAATTTTGCTGTGTTGGTAGGACTAGACGAGCACATTGAAGTTAGCAACAAGTAATATTGACAACTGACAACAATAACAAACATAAAAATAAACGTAAACCAAACTTGTATCTCGACTCGTATTTATAAAATGTGATATAATCTTTACCAAATGTCGTTTTAAATTCTCTGTAATCAAATAACTGTATTTAAAATAAAATTAAACTATTCAGTGTCACATTGAAGGAAATTGGGTGCCCCAAAATGGGAATAGACTTTGATATACTAGAGCATTGCAAAAAAGTTCGCGCTGACCACGGGCCCCCTTATACGTGTCCCGTAGAGAAGTGTGGAAGGACCTACAAGTCAGTCTGCGGACTACAATACCATCTTAAAAGTTTTGACCACGATAATCCAACTGCCATACCACCAACAACCCCTACAACTCCAAAAAACAAGAAAGGTAAGATGTTGTTACAATCTTAAATTAATTACATACAAACTCTTATTCAAGGAAGAAACAGGGTTACGAAAGCAAAGGTACCTCCGACACAAAATGTCCCGGAGCCATTAACTTTTGAGGAAGCTCAAAAAATGGTGCAGTTTGAGGTGAATGGTATAGCTTGTAGATGGAATATCACGGAACCAATGGAAGTGGTGCCTAAAGAGGACTTTTCAGATGAAGAAATGCCTGAAGTAAAACCTGAACCACCCCCAGGTAAGTTGTATTATTCACACCTACTTACATGTCTAACGTTATCGTTTTTAGATCCTGCTCTTCAATTACCTGAAGCCAGTTTTAAAGAACTTGAAGATTATAATATTTGCGATGCTCCACCCAGGCCAAATGCGTACATAAGGTTTATAGAAAAAAGCACTGAGGAACTAGATGGTGAGGTAAGATCAAATTAGTAAACAAACATATTTATAGGATATAAATAATGAATATTTTTCAGGTTGAATATGATGTAGACGAGGAAGATACAGCTTGGTTGGCACTGATGAACGAGAAACGAGAAGCTACTGGTTTGCCCCCAGTCTCAGTGGATTCTTTGGAGCTGTTAATGGATAGGCTCGAGAAGGAGTCATATTTTCAGGTACAAAAATTAAACATTTTTAGTTTCTAATAATTGATAGTCAACTTTTAGGCTTCCGTGAACGGACATACTGGTTCAGTTGTTGATGACGATGCAGTGTGCTGTATTTGCATGGATGGCGAGTGTCAAAACACAAATGTAATTCTTTTTTGCGATATGTGCAACCTTGCCGTCCACCAGGATTGCTACGGAGTGCCGTACATACCTGAAGGGCAGTGGCTGTGTAGAAGGTACGTTAACGTAAGCATTCGTTTGAAAAAATTGTTTAATTTAATATTTTCCGAATTAAATTTTAGATGCTTGCAATCGCCTAGTCGAGCAGTGGACTGCGTACTGTGTCCGAATCAAGGGGGCGCTTTTAAACAAACAGATCGAGGCACGTGGGCCCACGTCGTTTGCGCCCTTTGGATACCTGAAGTCCGATTCGCTAATACTGTTTTTTTGGAACCCATTGGTAAGTAATAAAATATTTTAAATTGAAGTTTTGTTAATGAAGTATAACCTTTCAGATTCTATTGAAACAATACCTGCTGCACGGTGGAAACTCACCTGTTACGTCTGCAAACAAAGAGGGGTCGGCGCTTGTATCCAGTGCCACAAAAGCAGTTGCTATTCAGCGTTTCACGTCACCTGCGCCCAACAAGCTGGGTTATATATGAAAATGGACACGGTCAAAGACAGTGGCGATTCACAACCTGTGCTGGTGCAGAAAATCGCTTACTGTGACACTCACGCTCCCGCAGACAATGGTGAGTTGGCTATAATCTTTACTCCAGTGCTAAAATTATAAACAAATCAGACCACGATTTTTACTATCTCTTAATCTTAATCTTAACAATTTAGTGTTTTTTGTATTGTTTCATGAGACTCTAAAAAGGACGATTCCCGAAAGAAAATGATCCAAGCGCGCAAAATGTTGGCGAAGAAGCGCACCTCAGCCCCTGTCATTCTAATTCCGACGATCCCTCCCGAACGAATCCAAGAAATCGGATCTCTAGTAACCATCACGAAGAAGTCGCAATTCATACAGAGGCTTATCGCGTACTGGACATTAAAACGTCAGTTTAGAAACGGCGTTCCACTTCTGCGTAGGCTACAGAGCGCTCAGGGTGGTCCTAGAGATTCCAATACCAGCAACGTGGATACCATCGAGCTTTGTCGGCAGTTGAAATATTGGCAGTGCCTGCGTCAAGACCTGGAGAGGGCGAGGTTGCTCTGCGAGTTGGTGCGGAAGAGGGAGAAAATGAAACTGGAGTATACGAAGGTCTCGGAAAAGTGTTTGAACATTAAGCTCAAGCCTTTGGAAGCCAGTTTGAGGAACGTTTTGGATTTAATACAGGCCAAAGACACCAACGAAATTTTCAGCGAGCCCGTCGATTTGGAAGAGGTTCGTTAAAATTTTTTTGTTTTTTTTCGTCTATAAAATTAAAAAAATTAAATATTTAAATTTTTAGCTAATTTTTATTTAATAAATCTTAAATAATTTCAAATTTTCCATGAAGTTTAAAAAACATGAATTTTTTTCATAACTTATAAAATGATACAATTTTTTAAAACGTTTCCAAAAATTCGTTGAATTTTCCATGCTTGCCTGAAATAATTGAAATATTACAATATGCTCGAAATGAGTATCTCCTAAGCGATTATTCTGATATTTTGAAATTAGTCGTAGGCATCTGGTTTTAAAATTAAAAAGCGGGTGTATCAGTTTATTATTTTTTTATTTTTGTAAAACCGGTAACTTAAAAACTATTAAAATTAGATATAATATAATATATTTAGAGCAGGTTAACGTTATCTACACTGATTTTTTGAAAAGTTTTGACCGATTTGGGTACGATATTCTGCTAAACAAACTTCAAAATGCTGGTCGCTCATTCTCACTTTTAACTTTAATCCTCTTTCACGTTCATTTAGATAACGGAAAACAATTTGTGGAGTATCATGGTTTTATGTCAATCAAAATCCAAGCTGATTTTGGGGTCCTACAGGGCTTTGTCTTAGGTCCCCTTTTATTTTCTTTATTTATTAATGATATAGTTGTGGGCGTTAACATCTTGCCAGGGCCATTTGCTTGCTGCCTTAAGAAAAAAATATATACAAATTACTACTGTTTGAACAAATAACAAATTTAATAATAAAAAGTTATAATAAATAAAAAAAAAACATTTCAATAGACAAAAATAAATAAAAATATATTTTAGCAAAAAAACAAACAGAAATTATAAGAAACATCCTATAAAAAATAAAACAGATTTCCAATAAAACCAAAATTAAAAAGTATTCAATAAAAACAAAAAAAAACTAAATGTCAAAACGGGATCTTTACACATATCACACATCAACTTTTTTAAATTTTTCATTAACAAAGTCTTCAATATCATCGTAATCCAAATTATTTGTTATATCTTTCTCGATAGCAATAATTTTTTATAATTTTTAATTTTGAAAAAGAACCTTCTCCAAAATGTCAGATAAATAATACTTTCACTAGTTCCATTTAAAATTCAAAAACAAAAGATAACTACCGATTGTCGCATTTCATCTTTTAAGTCACCAAAAGTACATTATATTCGCTTACATCCGGAAAAAGCAGCCTTGAATAATATTGCACTGAATCGTCCCTAATATATTAAAGACCTGGGAGCAGTGACGGGACTCAAAAATTAAATTGGTCATATTTTGATAATGAAGCTTGAAAGCCATACCTTTTTTTCGGGGAGAAGATTTCCACGCCCACATATAAAACTTCCATGAATAAAAAATTTTGAAAGAAATTTGCAACAAAAGAAAATTTTAATAGGGGTCCGTGACATCTCGAAAAGGGGTTGCATATATATTTACTTATTTTTTTTTTTAAATCAACTAATAGTAATTGACATTGACACATTAAGTTAAATTACTAATAAAAATAACAAACAACCGTAGCCCTAGAATTGATCCTTGAGGAACCTCTGAATTTTGGTCTACATTCCAGTCATTTCGAGAGGTATCAAATTGAGGTTTTGTATGTCATATTCTTTGAATCTAACAAGGCTTCATCCATTCTCTATTCTGATAGCTGAGATATAATTCAGCAAATTTAGGGAACAGACGTAGAGGGTAATCTTCAGAGTGCTCTTAAGCTCATAGTTTTAAAATTACACAGTTCATTTGTAATGCGTTAGATGCAGCAAAGTTTGGTTTTGAATTAGTAATTGTTTGGTCTCCATCGTTTTATCGTTTCAAAAATTGCACAAGTCAACATTTGATCTACGCGGGAACGCCAGAAGCGGTTTGGTGTTACTAAGGTTTTTGGGAAAAATCTGAAAAAATTCATGTATATGTTTTTGAGGTCGCTGAATTCGAATCCTGGGTTTGTTTTTTCCCTTGAGGTCTTCTAGAGGTCATTAAAGTATATCTTTTGAAATTATTTGGCATAGAAATTTTAAGTGCAATCTGAAATATCAAAAACAATCCATGCATATATTTTTGATGTCACTGAATCAGTTGACCTCTATCAGATCAGATTTCAGGTCATTTGAAAATCAAATTAAGAGATAACTACCGACAAATTCATAAAAATATATACATACATATGTTTTTAAGATCGCTACTTTTGAATTTGCAGTATGTTTAGCCTTGCGAAGCTTTCTAGAGGACATTCGAGGTTATTTCAATGTCATTTTAAAGTTATTTCTGAGTAAAGCAGGTATAGATTACAGAAAAATCTAAAAAAAGTAGTAAATGTACATTTATTAGGCCCCCGAGTCTTAATGCAAGGTCGGTTGACAACCAGCAGTTCAAGTTAAGGGTCAATCCAATGTAAAGTAGAGTAATAACCTTCAAGAGATGTACAAAAATTCATATGTATGTTTACTGAGTATAATACCACAGCTTGTTTTAAGTAGTAACGTCTCCTAGTTGTCATTCTTGATCTTTTATGCAGAAAGAAAACGTAGAAGACACGTTTAAGCTGATACTTCTTGTGAATCTTTGGCTGTACCTTTATCGTCACGTCAGCTATATATAACTGACCTCAGATTCTGATTCGCTGATCTCGAAAACATAAGTATGAATTTTTTCAGGTTTTTCGAATCGCAGTTAACATTTTTATCCCAAAAACAGTTCAAAATGACCTTGAAGTGACCTTGTATGACTTCTAGGATAGATCCAAAGTGTAAATAAATGCCGGATTCGGATTCAGCGACCTCAGAAACATATGCATGAATTTTTTTAGATTTTTCCGATGGTTTTTTCTTCACTTGACCTTCAAATGACCTTGAACCTGACGTGATAGAGCTTAATCGACCCTTTCATCGTAATCAACGACCTCAAAAACCCTAGTAGCACCTAACCGCTTCCGGCGTTCCTGCGTAGATCAAATGTTATTAGCAGAAAGATTATTTAATTTTTCATTAGTTCTGAATTTCTTCATCCACAAGAATGATTTTATAGACACGTTCACATAAAAAAAAAATGTATTTGTAGGTTCCGGATTATAGTTCAGTTGTCACCGAGCCCATGGATTTGAGCACGATGAGGCAGAAACTCGATGACGGGCTCTATCCCGACTTGACGTCCATGGAAAAAGATTTCGACTTGATGATCGCCAATTGCTTAGCATACAATAATCGAGACACCGTCTTTTACAGGTAACGTTTGTCGTTACTAGACGCGTTAAATGTTTTAACGCAAAATTATATGTTACCTTTTAGAGCTGCGATAAAAATGAGGGACCAGTGCGGCGTCATCTTCCGACAGGCTAAGAAAGAACTCGAAGCCGCAGGATTATTAAACAGTAACAAGGAAGTCGTCGCGCCCAATTCCAGCTCTGTTAACGGAGAGGAATCAATGGCCTCGGATATCGACAGGGAGCTGGAAAGTTTACAGGTAATTTTCTCCAACGGATTTGTAATCGTACGGGATTCCAACTTTTGTTGTCTTAGGGTAAAACTGGTCCGGACGTGGTGTCCAAACTGGAGGACCTGTTAATAAAAAGCCAGGCATTGAAGCATGGTTTGGCGAGAGCGAAACGGGTGAAATTGGTCCGAAGTGAGTTGAACAAGGCTAGGAAGAGTTTGCCGGCGCACACAGACACAGATCACACTTCTCAGTCAGATGGGGACGCCGAAAATGACAGTGTCGATATAAAAAACAGTTCCTCCAATTCCGGTAAGTCAGTAAGAAATACGTGTTTGTTCATGCGTTGAAGGAAAAATTTATTTTAATGAAAAATTATTACTGAAATTATTGCTTTATTTTTGTATATGGTTTCAAATTTATATGGTTGACCTGCCCTTGTTGTTCTTGGGCTAGGGCTTGTGAGGGCGGTCCCACAGTTGGAACCCCTAGGTCCGCCCTGATATTCATTTCAGTTCTTATTGGATCTAAAGCCGCTAGGGACGGAATGGCTCTTCAGGCAATTGTGATTCTCTGAGATGTCCCTTAGCGGTCTGTACAACTAGTCACATCCAATGCTTGCAAATGTTTCGCCATTCTTTACAATCGGTACCTTCAGTTGTAGCTCTGAGATTCAGGATAAATATTCGGTTTATTTTAGACCAAGAAATAAAGGTGAAAAATCATCGAAAGAACGTGAAAATTACTGGCCGTGATTTTATTGTTGGAAAGTCTTGGGAACGATAATACAAGAAGCGTCTCATCAAATGGGTCATGAAAAAAGTGTAGTGTCATTGTTTTTTATCAACAAATAGGTCAAAAATTCGTAATTTTTCGTTCTACGCGTTATTGTAAAAAAACTATTAATCTTAGCAAAAAATGTTCAAAGAGAACTAGAGAAACTCTTTAAAATGAGACTTTATAAGTTAAAATTGCTTTATAAACAAAAAATTAGTTGCAAAATTAAACGGAAAAAGTGCTTTTTCTTTAATTTTTTAATAACTTTTTAAATAATTAATAAAATCTTACCAAACTTTCCCAAAATATGAGTTTTTATATCCTTAAGAGGTGTGCAAAAAATGGGCTTGGTTAGATCTGTCAAATAGTTTTTGCAAAATTCCATTTATCCCATTTTTGCAAAAAAGGACCATTTTCAAATGACTATTCCGGGGGCAGGGTTATGACTAAAACATTCTTTTTGGGCTCATTTTCTTTGAAGGGACACCAAGTATCCTCTACTTAAAAAATTTCATAAATTGGGGTAGCTCGACGAAAAAATTACTTCTGGACTATTTCTACCCTTGTAAAACCACCCCTACCCCCCTAAAAATGAATTTTTTGAAAAAAAATATTGTATTTTTTTATTCGAAATGTTTTATAGTTCTTTTAGTGTTGTCAAAATTATTTTGACCCTTCAGAATTAATTTAACCCCCTCAACTCCCAAAAAAATCTATATTTTTATTTTTTTTTAATTTTGTATATTGATTAAAGGATTAATTATTTTGTAAAATTATTATTAATATATTTATTTATAATTAGTATAAAAATATATAAAATATTTCCATAAAAACTGACAGTGGATTTTTTTTTACAATTCATAAATTTCAACTTCAATTTGGGGGTTGAGGGGGTTTAATTAATTTTGAAGGGTTAAAATAATTTTGAGAATATTTTTTTATTGAAAACTATTATCTAAAACACTTCAAATTAAAAAAAATGCAAAAAAAATGTTTCAAAAAATTCATTTTTAGGTGGGTAGGGGGTGGTTTTACAAGGGTAGAAATAATCCAGAAGTAATTTTTTTGTTGAGCTACCCCAAATTAAAAAAAAGATTGTTCTACGTTACATAGAAGCTGAGATATTACAAATTTGACATTGTCAGTTTTTTCCTGGTTGAGAGGAAGATCCCCCCACCACCACTCCCTGAAGGGCTACTGCCGCGTACCCTTACTTTGACGGGCTCTGGATTGATCAATTATGGGCAAATTCAATTAAAATTAACAGGGCATAAAGTTTAAACCTTCATTTACGAAATGTTAAAATTTCAGGTCTTAATGTTTATAACAAATTACTCTGTGATTTAAAAAACTTTTTTTTAAATTTGTAGGTTATTTTACGAGCTTTCAATTGGTGTATATAACTTCTTTCCAAAGTTAAAAACCGCGGAGTTATTTTATTTGTTTATTATGGAAAAAAGTGCCTTTTATTTGCTACCAATTATATACAACTAAATTTGAAAAAATATATATATTTTAGTCATAACCCTTCCCCCGGAATAGTCATTTGAAAATGGTCCTTTTTTGCAAAAATGGGATAATAAATGGAATTTTGCAAAAACTATTTGACCAATCAAGCCCATCTTTTGCACATCTCTTAAAGATATACATACTCACATTTTGGGAAAATTTGGTAAGATGTTATTAATTATTTAAAAAGTTATTAACAATTAAAGAAAAAGCACTTTTTCCGTTCAATTTTGCAATAAATATGTTTGATTATAAAGCAATTTTAACTTATAAAGTCCCATTTTAAAGACGAGTTTCTCTAGATCAAATCGTCTTTGAACATTTTTTGCCAAGATTGATAGTTTTTTTACAATAACGTGTAGAACAAAATATGACGAATTTTTGACCTATTTGTTGATAAAAAACAATGACGCTACTTTTTTCATGACCCATTTGATGAGACACCTCTTGTATTATCATTCCCAAGACTTTCCAACAATAAAATCACGCCCAGTAACAAGTAATTTCAAAATGTTTCCTTTCCTGGTCTATTTCTCAATTCATGACAGTTCGTATTAAATTTGTTTTTTTTTTAGCAGTATGTCTGTGTATTCATTCTAAATATACGAATTAACACGATATCACATGCATGCAACCTGCGTCCCACGAATTCTTTATATTCTTTGTGAATTCAATTGATCTGAACACACAATATTTTTTTAATTATCATCATTTGTTTCAGGAATATCGCCATCAGGGGTGAACAGAAGAACGGCCGTCCTCTTCACGAAAAAAGCCCAGGCCGCTTTGAAAAAGGAAGATAAAGACAAGGAAGAGAAAGACGACTCATCGGCAGCGTCACCTATAAAGTAAGCGTTATCGATGCGACTAAAATATTTCTTTCCAATTTTCAATTCGTTGCAGGAAAAAGAAAGGCAAATCCCGTCGTTCCGCGGAATCCACCCCGAACAGGGAATCCAAGGAACGCGACTCCGTCCCCGATAGTTTCAAGGTATACCGCGCAGGAAATCAAACTACGGACGAAGAAAACAGCGACAGCGACAACAGTTTGTCGACCTGTTACTCGCATTCTCTGTCGGAAATAGACTCCGACGAAGACAGCGAGTGTTCGGACAGTACCGCCCTGTCGACGACGGATCTAGTTGACGGATCGACGGTCGAGAAGGAGCTGAAGCCTCTACAGCTGGTTTGGGCCAAATGCAGGGGTTACCCGTGGTACCCGGCGCTAATAATCGATCCTCAAATTCCGAAAGGTGAGACGGTTGTTTTTGTGTTTTTTCGTGCATTTTGGTAATGTTCGAATTTAGGTTATGTGCACAAGGGAGTTCCGATACCTTCTCCGCCTCAAGAAGTGCTGGATTTATCCTCGAATTATACAGATCAAGTGTATTTGGTGCTTTTCTTTGACGCTAAACGGACTTGGCAATGGTTGCCCGCAGATAAGCTGGAAATTCTCGGGTTGGATTCGGAGAGAGACGAAGCAAAGGTAACACATTTTTTGTTAATTTGGCGTTTTTAAAGAAGCGGTATCGTAAATTACAAACTTCTTTACACCAAAAAGTAATTTGAGTTTTAAACTAAGTCCACTTTGTGGAAAATCTGCGTTAAAATGGGGGAAAGTCTGTTATTTGTGCATTAATTCATTTTTAGACAAACTGTGTAATAAAATCTATAAAAATGTATTATATTCCGTTTATTGTAAACGGGGAATATACCAGTCTAGGAAACCTGGAATTACCAGGGAACATTGTAAATTTGTAAATGTTGGGGAAAATTTCAGGGAATATTTCAAAATATTTTCAATTTTTTTTTTTAAATGGTATCATTTCGTCGATGTCTTTTATCACAATTCAAACAATTTGAAAAGTCCAATGAGAGTTTTTTTTGGATTGTCTATCTTATAGCTCAAACTTCGCACCATCTCTTGGGTGTTCTTAGAGATTCGAAAAACTGTTTGAGAAAACGGAAGAGTCAAAAACAGTCAGTCTCAAGCAGTAGGACTTCATGTGGAGTGTTCTAAACAGCTTGCTTCACAATATCAAAAGTGTTTGGAATTAATTTCGATTCAGTACATTCTCATGCTCATCTTTAGCTGAATATACACGAGCAGTTTTATCAACCGATTTGGCCGATTTATCATTGATTAGCATAAATTGTAAAGACAAAACTGCTAGTTTGGGTCATCAAGAAAAATTGTAAAATACCAAAATTTTGGCGGATAAATTGCTGCCAAATAATTATTTTGTCACGTACACTAACGCAGCGATTAAACGGCAGATAAATCTGTCGTGAATTATCGGGCGATATTTTGTAGAGCGTCATCTGCGTGTTAGTACGTGTTGGAGGAAATATCTGCGCGATATGTAAAATCGGTTAATTTCTGTCTTGAGTTCAGAACATACTATAAATTCAAATAAGGCATCAAAAGAATTTATTAGTGGACTGATCGATTTATATCGTAATCACCCGTGTTTATGGAAAACAATCTCACAAGAATATACAAATAAAAATATTAAAAACGAGAGTTATAAGGAATTAGTGGCGTATTGTATTCTTTCCACAATAACCAAGTTTTAACCCACTTTGTTCGCTTTTTATTTCTTCTACGTCGTTTTATAATGACAACCCATCATTCCAAGTAATAAAACGTGTTTAAAGTCGTTTTTGTTCATGTTTTCGTAGAACACTCAAGCAAATTACACTTACGAATAACAAATAAATTGCTCTGATTTTTTGGACTTCCGAAAGATCAACGATGACAAAATAATCTTACCAAATTTAGAGATTAATCTTTGTGAATGACACAGACGTAACGAATAAACAGTCAGATAAATTTTGTACCATAATTCGATTCAATAAAACTTCGCATTAGTGTCCTCTCTAAGATTAGTCTGAAAGATTTTTTCTTAACGATTTATATGACGATTATTTTGTACAATTTATCGCTCCAATAAGTCTTTGCGTGTGTATTCAGCTTTTCATTTGATTTAGTATACGTTCATTTCGATGCTCCGACTGATTCTTTTAGTTACTTTCTTTCATGAATTACATTAAGATCAATACGAAACGGGTCTATTCGTCTCAATCCCTGAAACAATGAATCGGAAAAGTTTCGAGGACTGAATAGATTTATTTGATTTAACAACCTGAATCGTTTGTGATCAACACATATCTAGAACGAAATGCTGAATATGTAGAAAAATAACGTAATGTAATGTGCTTGGAACCACAATTTTTTTATTTTCTCATTCTGTTTTTTATCACCCATCGAAACAATAATAATAATTAGTATTTCAATCGAAAACGTGGTTGCAAAATATTGTATAGTCTTTCCGATATCAATTGAAGAACCAAGACGTTGACAGTATGTACCAGGTTCGGTGGCTGACGCAGCAACTCGGCATTGAAATATTTGAAAAACTTGCCCCCATATTTATTTAGCCATACCCATATACAGGTCTGATCGAATTAAACGTGGAGGTGGTAGAAATGTATACGCTCCATTGAAGAATGCGAGCGCGGGCAAACGAAATAAAACACAGCTGTATTGGGCCACTGGGCAATGAATCTCAGCTGTTCACAAGTGGTTGACAAATTGCCCAGCAGTGCAGTGCAGCAATGCGGAATTTGGTGTGATTAAGGTAATTTTAGTTTATTATAGGCACCTTCTATCAATCAATCATTCATATTACAATTTCGAAAGGGAGAAATAAGAGGGATATTTTGTTTACTTATATTATAACAGCATGGCATTTTGGAGACCTTTTGAAACGGAACAAAACGAAATTTACCATAAATATAATAATATTATCTGAGGACATAAATAATTAAAATATGTTGTTGGCCAAATGAACATATAATAGAAATTTTCTACACATTATATACAAATTATTTTAATTTTTTAGCTTTAGCAGAAAACTTTTTTAGGGACGCCTATGAAAGTCATTAAATTTTATTGCCAGGCGTGTTTTTACATGTTCAACTGACTTCGGAAAGACTATAATAAAACCTTACATATTACGTTTTTTCTTGAAAAGAGGAATATTTTGTAAAAAATTTGTAACGGTCCTCATTATCGAGTCATTTTATTTTAGGTAAATGAACCTAGGAAACCAACAGACAGGAAGGCTGTTAAAAAGGCATATGAGAATGCTCTGAACTACCAGTCCCAAATTAATAACCCAAAGGAAGACACCACAGTATAGTATTTGTTCAAGTTTTAATTTTCATTGCTTTAAAGTTTTTAGTTGAGCAGTAGTTATTGTTTAGTTGGTTTTACTAAGAAAAACTAGTTTAGTTATTATGTACTCTAAAAGTTTTTTTTATTACAATTTTATTTTCTAATACATCCATTTTTTTTTATAGTGATAAGTGAAAATCTAATTTAGCATATTTTCCTTTGCATTATTTATTTTTTGCATCGTTTCATTTTAAGAAACAATATTTTGACAAGCTGTGTCTTAAAGACTAGTTTGTGAGGTATACGAAGTATTAAGTTTAATAAGGTATATCCGCCGTTAAAATTTGTCGTAGCATTTTATTTTACACCCTGTATAGATAAAATGACTGTGGATATGATCGTGAAGACTAGAAGTGCATGTCATATATGATTATATTCGGAAGAAGAAGAAGAATTATATTTATGGGCGTTTTCGATGTATTAAATAAGTAGTGGTTTTCTTTGAACTTAAAGCTATCCTTTCTTAATATTATTCGGTAAAAAGATATGTCAATTTACGTAGGTAATGTTGGATGTTGGTAGTATGTTTCTCCCAATTGCTGCAAATGTCACTGAGGTGTATTGAAGTTTGCAAAAGTAAAAAGTGGGGTTATATCATTTATAATTTGTATGGATTTTTGTATAAAAAGTGACAATTTAAAAGGATCAAGTAGTTCCGATAACGGTGCAGACCGCCATCAGTTAATACCCGAGTTGTAGTTGCAATATGTTCAAGAAATTCGACGAGAAGGAGAGCGTGTCTGGTGTGCTGCAATTAAAGTCGTCCATTCAGAAATCAATCCGGGCGAAACTGATAGAATCTTACCCGTATTTGGAGGGCTACATTGACAGCATTCTCCCAAAGAAAGATGCTCTTCGCATAATAAAGTGCCATGACCACATAGAGATAATAGTTAATTCTGGCGGAGATTTATTGTTCTTCAGGCAGCGGGAAAGCCAGTGGATGCCTACGCTGAAGTTGCTGCACAAGTATCCTTTCTTCTTACCTATGTTGCAAGTCGATAAAGGTGCAATTAGATTTGTTTTAAGTGGGGCAAATATTATGTGTCCCGGATTGACTTCGCCCGGTGCGCAGATGACTGATGTCCCCAAGGACACTGTTGTGGCTATTATGGCAGAGGGAAAAGAACACGCCTTAGCGATTGGAAAGACTACCCTCTCGACGGAGGACATATCTAAAATAAATAAGGGTGTCGGGGTTGAGAACTGTCATTATTTAAATGATGGACTTTGGCAAATGAAGCCTGTAAAGTAATTTATATTATTTATGTTAATCGCTATTTTTAATTTTATTAAATGTCATTGTATACACACGTTTGTTTTTGTACTGATTCTGGAGTTGAAAGCCGTATGTAAGGTTAGGTGCAAATATATTGAAATATAAGCAGCTGTGGTCTTCCAATTAAAAAATAAGGTAGGTCTTAGCATTTTTTTAAGGGGAAAGTTTTATATTTACAAAATTTTCTTTAATAGTGAACCTCAAATTTCCTTCCTGAATTTTCCTACAAATTTTTTCAGACTTTTAGCACATATTCACCATGGTCTGTTGATGTATTTTATTTATATAATTATACTTACATATATTCAGTTTAATTTAAGTTATGTAAAAAAAATAAAGTGGTACTTCTCTATTACAATAATCTTAGAATAACCATCTCTGAAACTACTAATTAACAATAAGGTTAGTAGATTTCTTTTACTTTTCACAACGTCGTCAGAGCAGCAAGCAATTGTTTCATAGCCATAGTGCCAAAAAAACGACGCCGTGAAGTAGTGCTCTCTTGAACGAATTTTTGAGTAATTGAAATATATATTTGTAAGTACATTTCTAAAACGCATAACTACCGGTTAAAGTAAAGTGAATTATTATGTTTTGTGTTGTAAACTATTCATTTGGAATCAGTGGAATGAAGAGGTTAGAACTTCTGAGTTCAAAAATGTGGACTTTGGACTCGAGCATGTAATGAAAATAAAGCAGATGGAGTGTTTCAAATAATCGTAGTAAGACTGGTAAGTAGTCAATATTTTGCACGTACTAATATAGATGGCAGTAGCTAACAACTTTATAAATCTATTGATTGAGTTTTTTTCGAGAAAACTGCGGTTTGACATTTTCGCGAGAACTTAAGAGATAGGTTTGTGGGTTTGGGTTTGGACCGAGTCAATATCTCTGTGCCTTATTTGTTTAATGATTTTATATCTCACACGTTATTCTATCGATTTGAGCAGTTTCGTTTTTTAAGAAATTGATACTAATTATGATATTTAAATAAGTGTGGCTGTGCATTTCATAATAACTTTAATTTAAACATGAACTTGACGGGTAATTTGTGATTATTGAGGTTAGAGACACCTAAACCCAAACGAATTTTGGCGAGGTTTGTCAAGGGATGGTCAAGAGTGTCAAGTGGTTAACTATTAAGCCCTTAGAGCATACACTACTAGAGGCAGCGTCCCAGTGGCTGAGAGTGTAGCGGAGGTTTAGAGAGATAGCATATACCCTCCTGTACCTCTCTCTCTCTCTCTAAATCTCCGCTACACTCTCGGCCACTGAGTAGTCCAGGAAATTAATTGTATAATTTTTACGTAAATTCACGTTCTTCGCTTTTAACTTTTTTCCGTTCATTTCCACGAGAAAACAGTAAAGTACTTTTTTTCGTTTTCAAAAGACCTACAAAAGCCCTCGAGCGTAAAAAAATATTGATTAGATCAAAAGTTATAAACAGATGAAGTTTATGACTTTTGAATTAAACATTTATAAACTGCGTTATTATTACCAGAACGTTTTGGCATCGCATCCTGTCATTCCTTATCACTGTCTAATAACTGATACCAAATCTGGAGTCGGTAAGTTGAATAATTTACAAGTTATGGCCTTATAAACAAATTAACTAATTATTAGGCTGGACGATCCCGAGGATCTTCTTCAATGGGACTAATTTTTTTCATGGTAGATTTCATAAAAATACATTGAAATTTGGCCAAATATTTTAGTTGCATCCTGTACATGCCTATTTAAGAGAGAATCATTCATACATTCAAAATGTATTCTCTACAGAATTCTTCATTTAAATTGATCTTTTGCAAATAGACAATATTCTTTACAAAATATTGTACAGTTGAAAAGTAAACATACGTAAGGTACTATTTTTAAAAAAAAACAACGTCAAGAAATTGGAAGATTTCTCCAACTCTTCACTTCACAATTAATGTTCAAAAAACAGTTTATATGTACATTTAGGACGCAAAGTAAAAATTGAACCCTCGTAAAACATATAACATTAATGAAAAAAAAAACATAAAACAGAATTACTCTTCACTTTTTTAACTATGTAGAGTGAAAAGAGAAAAGTTGAAAAGTACTTCCAAGAGAAAACAAAAAGTTCCATTAGAATACCTAGTTTAAAAATTTTTACGGTGGAAATACAAAAATAAAGTTCCTAAATTAAAAAAAGCGATTTTTACTACTTTTTTAAATAAAATCAAATGAAAAAGAAGACATTTTTTGTTCAATGGAATGTTGCTAAGTATTATATTCTGTGCTACTTCGTCTATGTCTATACCTATAAACTTTTCAAAATTTCTAATAGTTCCTAATACTCTTGTAGTGATAATCAAATTTGGTTCATCCAGTATTTGAGGAGAAAATGCGGTGTCAGCCTAAATTATAAATAACATTCACATTTTTTTTCAATAGAATAATTTATTGGTCAAACTCTAATAGCTATCATTTATTCTGACTAATTTGTAATTTCCTTATTGAATTAAAGTTAATACAAGAAAAAATCGAAAAAAGTAGTTTTTTTCAATTTTTTTTTACCTATACCTCATGTTTTTTATCGTAATTTTAAGTTAAACAAAGAGAATATTGTGTTTAAGTAAACGTTTCGTTGCAATAGCATTTTCTTGTAACATTTTGTTTATTGTGCTTGTCGCCCAGCCGCGGAATATCCTTGGCTAGTTCTCCGCTAGGTCCAAAGTCATCCAGTCCGTTAAAATTTACCGGACCAAAAGGCCTTATGCCACCGATTACGACGCTTTGTGGATCGGCGGGTTTAACTGTTGCTTCTATTGGCGTGTCTTCGCCTTCTTCGTAGCTATCTTCATCGGAATCCCCACTGCTTTCCGTAGAGACTGAAATTAACCATGTAGAACAGTAGAAGTCAATAATATACAGGGTGCCCCGCATAAAAACCGACACAGGGCAGGTGCATGTAGGGGTGTCTAAAATATTGTAATTTAACCAAACTTACCTATATATAAAGTTGTACCCCTGAGGAGTTATTAGCCCCCAAAGTGAGGCCCTAAATTTCGAAAAAATTAATATCACTGCAACACTTTACCGTAGAAGAGCCAAATTTGGTACATAATTTAGGTTTATTACTGGTCTTCTTTGACTGTGATTTAAAGTTAATTGAAGCACTACAAGGTGTTCATTGGGGATGACTCCTAAAATTGTACCGAACTTTTTTTCATTGACCGAATTGAAAAATAGTAATATTAATTCACAGCAGAATATAATTTTAATTTTTTTTACTCTTGTTAAATTTAAAAAAACTTTAGTCAGTAGTAGAGTAGGTAGACTTTATCTTTCAAATTTGACAAATGGCCAAATAAATTTTACTTCACTTCTCTCCTAATTCTACAAAAAAACGATAGTGTGTTTTTTCAAAAATGTACACCTCCATTCATTATTACATTTCATACTGTATTATATTTTTTTAGGAATACAGATGCCTTAAGCAACCACACATTTCCATCATTCTTCAAGTTCGGGGTAGCCACCGCTGCATACCAGGTGGAAGGTGCTTGGAACGAAGACGGGAAAGGAGAGAACATATGGGACCGTCTGGTTCACAACACTTCCATAGTAATAAACCATGATACTGGTGACGTCGCATGCGATTCATACCACAAGTACAAAGAAGATGTGCAGCTGTTAACACAACTAGGCGTTAATTTCTACCGCTTTTCTATATCTTGGTCTAGAATCTTACCCACAGGATACCCGGACCAAATTAATAAAGCTGGAGTTGAGTATTATAAAAATTTAATAAATGAGTTGAAAGCGAACAACATAGAGCCCTTTGTTACCATTTACCACTGGGACTTGCCGCAACCTCTACAAGAAATCGGAGGCTGGCTGAACGAAACACTGGTGGACATTTTTGCTGAGTATGCAAAGACTTTGTTTACTTTGTTTGGTGATGACGTCAAGCATTGGATGACTTTCAACGAACCCAGGCAGATTTGTTACGAGGGGTATGGGCTTGGGTGGAAGGCGCCTGCCATGAAATTGCTTGGAATTGGACCTTATAGATGTGCTCATGTACTTATTAAATCTCATGCCAAGGCCTACCATATTTATCAAGATAACTTTAAAGAGAAGCAAGGAGGTAATTTTAAGTTATATTCCAATTTTGTTAGTGTGTTAACGTTGCTCATATACTTATCTTCATGTTTTTATCCTTTTGCAAACATTTAAATTTTTATTATTGAATATAGTTGGTGATCATTTTAAGTAATACTTTAGCTAATTGGAAGTTTTTACTTTTTCCTAATTTGCCCAGTTGAATATCTTTGTAATTGTTAAAAAGAAAACGTGGTTGCTTAGAATGTGTAAAGAACAAGGACATCACTTGTATCACCATT